CAGTAAAACGTCCCACATCTGCGCCGGTCGGGACCGGAACTGAGGGTGCGTTCCGAATTACGCATGAAGCGCGTAGACTGCAATACTGATGCGCAACGCTTCGAAATCGTTCCGTTTTTTTAATGCACGCATAAAGCGCATGAGCGCTTGAGAATTTTGGAACGATTTCCCGAGCGACTTATGCGCTACGCTACAGTGGGCTTGGCAGCTGAGAAAAATGGACGCCGAACGAATCGACAACAAACGTTTAACGGTATCAATTGTATCTGCAATGATACTTTTAAACAAAAACAATAAATGTGATAGCTCTAGCGAAAGTGAAAATGATGATAATGATGATATTTGCATAAGGGATATGCAAATATTATATTGTATACTTATGGCTAATAAAGTACGAGGGAAAATCATTGTAATAGAAAAAATTACTGATTACGTTGAACGCGTAATTCCCAATTATACAATGCAGAGGCTCGACTGTCGGGCCTCACGCGGGGTGATGCAATCCCGAGAACCAAAAATTTCTCTTCTAGGTTAGAAGACGAACAGAACTTGCAGTGAAAATATGTTCCGAATTATGCAACAAACGCATAGACCGCATGAACGCATTAGACGCATCAACTGCCTCAAGTCAAAAGAGAAGCAGTCAATGCGCTGGGAGGAGTGCTAAGAATTCAGTACGGTTAGTACACTCTAGGGAATTCATAGCTCTTTCGAAGCGCTTTCGAAGCGCGCAATAGCTAATTCGGAACGACTTTCTATGTACTCTACGCGCTTTATGCGTAAATCGGAACGCACCCTGACCCAACATCTGCGTCAGAAAGCGGCGGTGGTGGGGGAGCTACCTTTTGAAAACGCGAAGATGTGGGACGGAAACTAGCGAAGATATGGGACGCGCGCAGATGTGGGAAGCGCAGATGTGGGACGTTTTACTGTATGTGACACTCTGGGTTTTGGCCAAACAGAGCTCTCTCGTGGTTCTGGATTAATCTTAAAGTTCGAAAAAATTTCTGGAGGTAGCGACACCGTTTTTCGAACTTTAAGACTAATCCAGAACCACGAGAGAGCTCTGTTTGGCCAAAACCTTGAGTGTCACATAGTTAGGACCCTGTCACAAAGTTAGGGGCTTTTACGGTACCTAATTGTAAAGATTCACAAAAATTTAGAAGTTTTGTTAATTATTATTTGATACTTAACAGTTTTATCATGTAAAGTACAATACCATATTTTTAATAAATAAAAATTAAAACTTTGCTGAAACAAAAATTCAGACTAAAAACAAAATGATACTTATTAGCTTATGACAACTGTGTATGTGTGTGTGCGCGCGCGTATGAGTGTGTGTGTGTGTGTGTGTAGGGGGGGGGGATATTTTTGGCGGGGCAACCACAGCCAAAACCGTTACGCCACTGATTGATAACTATCAAAATATATTAGGCGAGACTATCGATTCCCGTCGATATAAGAGACTGTCCACTGGGCACGTTTCAAGAGGAAACCTTGCAGGGTTTCCGCCGGGGTGGATTAATGCTCTTCGAGTGAACACAAGGCTGCTCGGAGCTCTTATACGTGAAAGAAAGAACCGTTTCCTTTCTCTATTTTCGCCACACCTGAAACAAGTTTTGCGTGCTTTTTTTATGAAACCGACGAAGACAATTCATGGCAAAAAATGTTTTTTTTAACAAAAGAAGTAAACAATCGTTTACTTATGAAATTTAATCAATAATTATATTATAAGATATTTCTCTTAATCGTATAATATCTAAAATATAATATAAGGACAATAATTATTGTTTCTAAAAGCTATAAGTGCAATCAGCGGAGTACAGAAATTATTTGAATTCGCATGTCCAAGCAATTGTTATAATTCCCAGAAATATAAGTTGGCAAATGGAGAAACTACGCAAAGTAGCGAGTTATTAAATTTTAGATTATGTTTAAAATACTATGTAATTTAAAGTGACACGCCAACGAAAGTGTAGACAATATTGAAACTCGTGGTTGTTAAAACGATTACAGTTTGCATTTCGATAATGCGCTGCTTCGTACTTATACTTGCGTTGCGCTTCATCTCACATTTGTTTGAATTCGTGCTGCTATTAATTGCAAGCAATCGATTCTGCGTGACAGGCTATGTGCGGGTGAACAGTGGAAATTTTAAACGATCGTTCATCGGTGACGACGTCGACTGTCATGCAACCGAAGAGCTAAATCGTCTGTACATACGGCAAAATCCCTGTTTCTCGATCACCAACAGACGCCGATTTATCGCAAGTTGTCACCGTAAAACATTTCAGCGTGCATATCTAAAATAAGAAAACATGACAGAAATTCGAAGACATTTCCAAATTTTACAATGCTGCAATATTGGACAATTGTTTAAGAATAAGTATTTAAAAATAAATATTTTTAACCAACTAAATTTTCAACTTGGTCCTCTAAAGATATAAATCAATTACAGTATGAACGCCTTTTATTATTAAGGATCTGGCACAGATGTAGGTGGCCACTTGAATTATCATGTGTGAATCCGTATACCGTATTTATTCCATCTTGTCCTGTGCACCGTTACAAACCGACATGCACAGGTTTTTCCCTTTCGGATAGAATCATTGTCGTCAGTGAATTCACGTGTTATAATATCGCACAGCGATTTTTCTAAATACATATATTAATCGCTGTGCGATATTATAACACGTGAATTCACTGACGACAGTGATTCTATCTAAAGCCTCGTCTACACGACAAGGCGTAAGGCACGGCGCAAGAGCTCAGGCGTCGGCGTTGGAAATAAAATTAGTTTATTTCGCTTGCGCCGCTGCGCCACGACCCTACGATCGGGAAAAATCCTCTTGCGCCTGTGCTCGCGCTCTTGCGCTGCGCCTTACGCCTTGTCGTCTAGACGAGCCTTAAAAGGGAAAAACAGCTGTGCATGTCGGTTTGTAACGGTGCACAGGACAAGATAGAATAAATACGGTATACGGATTCACACATGATAATTCAAGTGGCCACCCACATCTGTGCCAGCTCCTTAATAAATATTTTTATAAATTCATGCAATAAAATAGACATTTCCAAAAATATGCGATTTTAAGGTTAATTTGCAATAACACGTATATTTTATCGTAAACTATATCAAGTATCTCGAAAATATCTTTTATAGATTCGAAAATTTCATGCATTTTAAATTAAATAAAAAGGATTACCTGCGATTATTACTGATCAGTAGGGCTGTGAAATATATGCATTTGCATATTTTTCCTGGTTAACTAAAACATGCAGTTTTAACAAACTGTATATGTTTTGAAACAATTGGAATCAATTTCAGCTAATTTTATTTTGCATATTTGTGCATATATTGTTATAAATGCATATTTTTGCATAAGCGGATTGTAATTGCATATTTTTTTACATATCCGGCATATCGGCACTTGGCACGTCAAACCTTAATGTTTCTGAGCAGGCAAAAGAAAAAAAATCCCCAAAAAAGAGCTACGGGCTCTCTCCCATTCTTCCGTTTCCAAGACTGAGTTTGTGTTTGTTCAGTTGCTGCTTCACCACTTTTCGCGAACTTTTGGTCGCTTTTGCTTCTCTTGGAAATGTAGAAAGGTGTTTGTTCCACTGTAAATGTTCTCTTGGAATAGTTTAATATTGGATTCATGGAAATATTACGACCTTTTGGACCAATAGGTCAGGAGTTTTTTTCTTTTTTAATGTTCGTTGTTAAATTTTTTAAATAATCATTTTTTTAAAACGCGTTTTTCTTTTTTAATATTCGCCATGTGATGTTCCTCTTGCCACTGTTTCTCTGTTTACTTTTATTTGTGTTTATACTTATGTGTATATTGCGATTTCCTTATTTTTTCTCATGGTAGTTTTCGCATATTTTCAGTTTTTAATTGCATATTTTACCAAATATATTTACATATATATGTGCATATTTGTCTGTTTTTATTGCATATAAATCACAGCCCTACTGATCAGAATTTGGATGAAGAACCACACGTGTTGCACATTGATCGTCACGAGCACAAAGGAAGAGGAAGAAAGTGAAGAAACCGGCGCCACCGGCGGATGTCAGCAATACCGGAAATTACGTATACAACATGGCGTTGCTATACACTATATCCGCCCATAGACATAACCTAGACAGCACATTACATACTGAGAATATCCCTATAATATCTCCTGTAGTATATCAATTTTCGTATATTTTTGGGATGTCACCAGTGTGTTCTAAGAACATATATAAAAGTATATTTTGAGAATATACATAACAATATATTCTGATAATATACGATACATATACAAAAAATAATATACTGTAAAAGATGTTCTGAAAACATCCTAAAAATATACGAAAATTGATATACTACAGGAGATATTGTAGGGATATTCTCAGAATATTATGTACGGTACGTACATTCATAGTATGAGTATAGAATATTCGTACAATATCATGTGCTGTCTGGGGTGTATTCAATGAAATTCCAGATTTAACCAATCATAGGCACAGGGTCATTTTAATCATTTGGATCTTCTCGCGAAAGCAGCCCTGATTGCGCGCGTGAAACAGATTTGGGTTCGAACGCGTTTCGTGTAAAAGAAAAGCGCGGTTTAATTCGCCGAAGAATTTATAAAGAAAATTTGTGCAGTCTCCGTTTCGATCCTCCTCTCTTTGTCGACGATGGATGCTGAAAAGTTCGTCTCACAACTCGAATCTTTATTGCACCGATACGCGCGCCCGAAATAACGACGCGACGGCAGCTTTACATCCCGTGCCTTTGAAAAACAAATTTAATAAGAGCAATATGTTACGTTTGTCGCGCAAGTTTTTCAGGCGCATCGATTGTCTACGAAATGGAAAATTTCTAGGAACTCGAGGACCATTCAGCAAATTGATAGGCTACGCATTTCTCGAAACTGGAGCTTGGACCAAGTTCTAGCATCGTGGACGCAGGCCTTAAGACCAGGGCCTGAGCGGAAAGATCGACGTAACCGTTTACGATTCTGTCGTAAGACGTAAGTCGGTGTCGTAAGTGAGCGCACAAAGAATTGTACGACAAATTCTTTGTGCATTGACTTGGGGCCTGAGACAGTCCCTGGTGAAAATAAAAATTGGAGCGTAAATCGAACGTAAGGGGAGAGCGACACAAGCTTAACGAAATGTGTAGGAAGCGTAATTTGGAACAGCGAAGCATAAATAAACTTCGAACGCTTCTTTTACGCTTCCTATACACATTTCGTTTACGCTTCTGTCTCTCTCCCGCCCTTACATTCGATTTACGCTCCAAATTCTATTTTCACCAGGGGTGTTTTACGTTTTAAGTTTGTGTCTTGAGGTAACGCACAATAATTAAGTATCTTAATTATTATTTAATTAATTAACTATTATTAGACTTCTCGACTGAGCGTTTTAAGTATGAAAATGTTCTGCTATGCGGCCCGCAACTTATCCTGGTATTATTTTGTGCGTGAAAACGCCAACAAAAAGAATTACAAGCGCAAGAACTACATTTGACTGTGTCGGCAAGAAAGATGGCTGAGGGATCCCCTTAAGAGTACAAGACAGCCTGCTCAGACCCTCCCGACGCCGACTTAAGTCTTACGACAGAATCGTAAACGGTCACGACGATCTTCCCGCTCAGGCTCATACGCTACGCTCACAATAAGGCTGGATTCAGACTGAACGCGATGAGCGATGAGCGACGAGTGATATCCAATGGGCGTACAGCTTTCCCATGTAACCTGTTCGCCCATTGGATAATCGCTCGTCGCTCATCGCTCATCGCGTTCAGTCTGAATCCAGCCTTAGGCGTAGCCGGGCGTAGTCGGGCGCCGCCACCGCCGTCGCCGATTCCGCGCCGCTGTTATTGATGCGCCGTCGCCGCCGTCACGTCGACCGCGACGCCGCGGAATGCGGGGAACGGCCGCTCGTTTATTTAACGTTGCCGCGCGGCGCCGTTAAATGGAACGGCAGCGACGGAAGCGGCGACGGCGACGGGCGACATACGTGGCGCAACGTGCACGCGCGAGATCGTCGTCGCGGAAGAGGCGCGACCGCGCGCGTCCCGTCCGACGGCGCGACGCGACGCGAACGGATCATCTGAAATGACAATGATCGAAGCCCATTCGAATGCACACGCGACTTCTGTCGCCAATCCCGCGACCTTGTCCGCGGCTCGATAGCGAAACTTTTGATAGGCAAAGCAACTCGAGCTGATCGATAACAGCCGTTAAATATTAATTACACCTTCCGCTCTTTCACGCTTGGATCTCGGTCAAAGTACGTCGAGTGTGGTAGACCGTTCACGCGTTTCGCGCTGAAAAGGCGTCATTTTGTTTTTTAAATTACCGCGCTGCCGTTTAATAATTATGAGTCCTAGCTGACACGCGCATCAGTTTCGAGTCCTCCCCAGTGAGAAATGATTCGTCGATCGATGTCAAAACGATGTCGAATCGACATCGATACCGTCAAATTGACGTCGATTCGACATCGTTTCGACATCGATCGACGAATCATTTCTCACTGGGTCGCAGACTCTCGGTAAAATCGTCATGAGTTCCAGCTGACCATTGTTGCTTGCGTCATCGACACAATTACTCTTTACAGATTTATTCGAGAACAGCTCGACGCGGGAACCAGATTTGGAGATCGCCTCAATTATAATACAGGTAGCATATGCGTGTCCAAAGGACATCTTTAAGGCGGCATTAAGTTGTCTTCTAGACTCCTGGTGAAAATTTTTAACAAAAGACGTTTATATTTATTTATGAAAAGTTTTAGCGATAGTTACATTGTTTGTGAAGAGCTTCGACATTGATGGTCGCACCGTTTGGAAGTGCGTTGCAAGCACCTGGTTAATTTTTAAAACAACAACATTTTACAAACACTTAGAAAACTGTAATGGAAAATGTTTGACGTTGTATCGTTAAACGCAATTTGAACACTTGTAACCGCGAACGTGTCACAAAGGACTCCGTGTGTAAATTTATATCTCACAAACAATTCGATGTTTTCGAAACTCAAATAAAACATCGACTCAACATTTAAACAAACCGGCCTATAGACATATATTATTTTCGCCAGGGACACGCATTGCTATCTGGGATAAGGTCATGCAATGACGAAATGCAATAAAAATTGTGCTTAGAATTTACCCCATTATGCATTTGATCGCGTAATTGACACTTAATTGACGTTAATTAATATTGCTCGATGCTGTCCACGCAAACTATTATCGACGCCGCTCACAATTGATGAAGCGGTTGTACGAATATTCTTACAATACGCGCTAATTATTATTTATGACTTTGCAGCTGATTCACGGAGTGAGAGAAGGTGCCTCGGTTTACCACGGGAACATAACGGCAGCACGGTGCAACGTGCTAATTGTAACTTAACCTTAAAGTCTAACCTCAAAATCGCGGGAGACCCACGTGTTTGTTTTGCACTGGCCCGGAGTGCCGCTCGCCAATTATTGATCTTGCCCTTTGTTATTAATTAAACGAAAGATTCGAACTGTCAGTGTCAACTGTTGACTGAGAACGTTTATTTCACGGACGTGTTCAAAGAATTATATGCAAATATGTAAGTGATAATCGCCGATTGAACATCATTAATTTATTAACGTGTGCGATATAGACACCGGCGATTATTCTTTTGCCATTTATTTTTACACGTGATATATTCTGGATCCAATCTAGAAAGAAGATGAGCTTGTTTGTTATGAACAGGTAGGAGACACAAATCTTGTTAAACAATCGTGGCGCATGGAACACAATGACGAATAATTGCGAATTATTATCCATTACTTTTACTTAATGCAGAATACGTGTATTGTATACAGATATGAGGGCGAGGGCGAGAAGGTGGTTGAAAATGAAACGAATCACTTGTCCGAGCTGCTGAAGAAGATAGAGGAGCGCAAGAGACAAAGGACCGTGGCGAGTAATAAATCCGCACTAGGCCAGGATGGGAATGACTTGGAGGAGCCTGGGGGGAAGAAAAAGAAAAAGCTGCTTAAGGCAGAGAAAGCTGACGATTCGCATATCGTGGACAACAGTGCTGGCAGCGAGAAAATCGATGAGCGAATCGCAGAAACAGCCGAGGTATCAACGAAGAAGAAGAAGAAGAAGAAGAGGAAGAAGAAAGATATTGAGAGCGAACAGCATTCCGCTGCACTAGACAAGAATTTAGAGGAAAGGGATGACACTTTTGCAGAGGAAGATAAAGACACCGCGGAGAAGGACATATCACCGCAGGACAATTTTGTAGTCTTGGGCGCGAGGTCTCGAAAGAAGCAGCGCGAGGCAAAGAGGGTGTTGCCAGATTGGCTGGCGCATCCCGAGGTGATATCTGCTGATTTAAACAGCGGGCCGACCTTGGAAGAATTGCAGTCGATCTTGGACGCCAAACTGGTGGAGGTCTTGAGGGCCAACGGCATTACCAAGTTGTTTCCAGTTCAATCTAGCATAATCAAATGGCTGCACAAGTGCAGGACGGACAGGAAACTGGGATGGTGGCTGAGAGACACTTGTGTGTCCGCTCCGACAGGCAGTGGTAGGTATTTACGGCGTAAATAGTCATGCGCGATGTAATTTTGACCGAGAGCAACGTATATTTTTTATGCCACTCTGTATCGAGTTACTTCATATAATTTTATTTATAGGCAAGACCCTGGCTTATGTATTGCCAATTGTGCAGGAATTGCAAACGCGATTGGTGCCGAAAATTCGCTGCTTGATCGTCCTACCGGTGCAAGAACTGGCCGCACAGGTTCACAAAGTAATGGTCGCGTATACGTCTCACACGAGCCTGAAGGCAGGCTTGCTTTCGGGCGCATTTCCGTTCGAGCAAGAGCAAAACAGCATAATTAAGAGAAGTACGTGTTGTTGCCAGTGAATTAAAAGACTTAAATTGATAAAATACATAAGAACCTTGCTGAATTGTTTGTAAAGCTGAAAGGGGGATGTATTTATCCACGGTGGACATTGTAATCGCGACACCTGGTCGCTTGTTGGATCACATATTGAAGACACCCGGATTTTCCTTGGATTCCCTGAGGTTTCTCGTTATCGATGAGGCCGATCGTGCAACAGAATGGCTACAGTACTTACCTGAGCCTCACTCTAGGGCTCCTATCTTGACACTCGGAAACATGCGCTCAAGGTTAACTTTTTAACAGAATATATTATTAGACACTGTATTTTTTAATAGTAAGGAACGATTCTTAATCTCGGCGATTAACTGGTATGCGCGAGGAGAATTACTCAAATTACTTTATCCATGTTTTCAACAGCAAAGTTATACCAGCTCAAAAGCTATTATTTAGTGCAACCTTGTCGCAAGATCCGGAGAAGTTGAACCGGTTGGGCCTCTTCCAGCCGAGATTGTTCACAACCGTAGTAACCGATAAGGATACCGATGTAAATTTAGATAAAATCGCGGGTGACTTTGTCGGGCGCTACACGAGTCCGGGAGAACTGACGGAACTCGCGGTGGAATGTACCTCCCACTACAAACCAATTGTCCTGCATCAGCTGTTGACGAGGCACGATATCATTCCTAAGACTCTTGTTTTCACGAATTCCGGACAAACCGCGCATAGACTGGCGCTTTTGATGCAGTTACTCTTGTCAGAACGGAATGTCGCAGTGGGAGAGCTATCTGCCCAGCTCGCGTCAAAGCAACGCGAAAGTGTTTTGGCGAAATTCGCAAACTCGGAGATACGTGTGTAAGTCTTGCGCTTTGCCAAAGCGAAATAATTCCAATTCTGCAAAGAAAAATAATATTTGTGTCTTAGAAACAAAACATTTCTTATTATAATTTTACCATAAACATGAGACAAAATAAAGGGTCTATTTAATAAAGTATCTTTTTACTAACATAAGAAGAAAAATAGTTTAGCTTTAATGATTTAAATAATATTGATTACTCTTTTTAGATTAATAAGTTCGGACGCACTGGCTAGGGGCTTGGATATTCTGGATGTGCAGCTAGTTGTATCTTACGATCTCCCGAAGCACATTAAGGGCTATATACATAGAGCTGGTAGGACTGGGCGGGCCGGAAAACCGGGCACCGCGGTGTCTATACTCACAGGGAATCAGGTCGGGATATTCAAACAAATGTTAAGCGGCGCACATAAAACCGTGCCCAACATTGAACAAATGGAGCTGCATGCAAGTGCAAAGGCGGTCGATTATCAAGGTCACTTTGAGAAATTAAAGGAGATTCTCGAGAAGGAAAAGAACGAGAGCCTCCAACGAACGAAGGCCACTAAGCGTAGACGCGTGGCAAGTGTGACCAAGCAAGGTGGAAGTGTGGAATAATATTTTATATGAGGATAGAAATAAAAGAATACTTGTGTATTACTTACGTGGTATACCAAGTTATCAATTACCTTCGAAAAATCCCTGAACAATAGAATTAACATTCATTTAACGGTTGACGCGTCGAGCCCTCAATGCTGTAAAAGGTCCTGTAGAAGAAACGTATCGAATACAGATAGTAGGGTAACATCGATAATAACATTTTATTGTCTGAAGTTAATAGTATCGTACATCATGCTCATTCCCTATGATTCGTTCTATGGGTAGTCGCGATTTATCTTGTTTCAAATTGTTACTAATTGTTACTCCCATTGTTCTTTGTTCCGTCGAAGGCAATGTATTCACAGTTTCAATTTACAAAAGGTAAACGACGTCGCATTTACGACTAACGACTGCGGATACAAGTTATTTACTATTATTGCTGTGCATGGCTGCATTGCTCAGAACCGATCGTACGGAATTTCTCTTTAATACCCAATGTTACTGGGATGCGTCATTGCAATTTTCTTTCGCACATTGTTGAAAAATGTCATGGCAGCTCTGTTGTTTGCTGAAATAGCCACAGCGCATAATCGTAACAGCGATTGCAAGTTGGGATTAAATTGGGATACAAACGTGTACTTTGAATTAAATTTAAAAAAGAAAACCCGACAAACGGGTATCGAATATTCTTCTTTTTTAAAGAAGTTATTTCTACTTGTACGGCAATGGTGTCTGTAAAGTGTTCAAAAGTGAACGATATAAAAAAAAACAATCGTTTTGACACGCGTCTCTAATTAATCGGTTTCGGTTTTAGTCGCAAGCAACTTTTCTCAACGATACATTTATACATGCGTTTGACGTTTACATTTTGCGATATCTTTTGCCATATCAATGTACAACGTGTGAATTTTGATTTTCGCATAAACCATATTGTGCGTTTTCTCTTCGGCATCGCATTATTTTCACATGACATTCAATTACGCGACTCCGGCCAAAGTTCAGGCACCCCAAACTTGTAATTCAAACTTCGGCTGTGTTCAAAGCCCGTCGGGATTGTTACTGTAATTTCGTATTGCGCGACCGCAGTCGCCGAGTTGAATTAAATCGCACGGACGCTGAAATACGGACACTGACCACTCGGATACTGTCGATCTCCCAAAAAAAACGAGCTCTCTTTGTCCCTTTCTAATCGATACTCATAGATTTCCATCTAATTGACGTATTACAGACAGTCGCGTGTTGCACTTTGTTCGCTAAAAATCTGAGGCGGATTGCCCTAACAGGTCGATCTTCGGTTTTCCTAAGGATTTTAAGCGAAAGTATTCGATTTTTTCACAAAACACAGAAGATTTAACGATTCAATATGGGGATACCTGGCGTCTTTGTCTCAAATTTTGCATATTCGTAGCCTTAGGCCTTCGCGACTCCCCCAATTCACCCGTAGATTCGTTAATAATTAGCAGCCAGACTGCTGTGGTGGATATGAGATCGGCAACCTCTTGTCACGTATCGACTATATTCAGTTTCGTGTATAATTTTTATGTCGAATATGGGAATAAAGAAACGAAAAGCTCATAAATATACAAGATATTATAGATATAGACTATATTAAACGCCGAGAAAATTCACACAATAAACTCACAGTTTAAAAAACACTAAACTAAACGAAATTTGATTAATCGTGAATTATAAGGTACTTTACAAAGTGCATCTTCAAAGTTGCAAACGTAAAAAGAATTTTCTAATTTCCAGCATCTCGGCGAGAGGCTGAAACTTTGAATTATCTGATAAAAATTCTGATGGGAAGCTTTCAAATTTAGGATCAATGTAATGAATTAATGTAATGAAGCTCCTGAGAGACTGAGCACCTCGGTAATTTATATAAACAAGTTTGTATTCAAGCGACGAGACTCTTTCTGATTGCCGATCTCCTTCCCGCGAAGCTGTTCTCCCAAAAGTTTTAGCAGCTCGATGAAAGCATCCGCTCGGACTTTCGTTGTCTGAACTTCGAACGCGAACGAGCAAGATTCACACTTACTTACGTCTAATGTATGTATATGTAACTGTACGTGGATACACGTATCGTGCGAGCACGACTTATTTTTCATGTTCATTATGTTACACCCGCCTTACGAACCCGCCTTCTATATATATATATTTATCGTATCATTACAAAATCTAGCCTCGTTCGAGAGTACACCGAATCGAACGAATCCTAAACGCTTACCTCGAAATTCCGAACGTTCACACACAGCTTCTGTGTTATTTACACATATGTCAATATATGTAATATACGAGCGTATGTACATACATTAAACGTGGTCCTATATGATTCATATGTCTCTCGTTGCCGTGTATATGTATTTTTTTTTAAATTTTAATACTTAACGCGAATGAATTTTTGCCACGTTCCTGCGGCGGCGTATCTTACAGTAGAGGGATATTCAACGGGTTTTGTCTAACGGGACTCCGTATTATGAAAAAATGTACATTATGTATACATTGCATATACAGAGTGTATAAAAAATTCGCGTTCTTCTCTTTACACTTATTACCGTATATATAAAAAAAAATGGTTCGCTCCTTCCTTTAAAATGATTCAATCGATGAGAATTTAAGGACGAAAATCGATAGTGTGGAGTTTCACGTCCTTCAATTGACGTTGCATTTAGTTCAATCAAACTTCCACCATTTCGCGCGACAGTTAGAGAGAAGACGGTTGCACGATATATTTTCTATATACCCTGCATATTTTGTATGGAGTGCACCAAGCAAGTCTGCGATGTGCTTAAAAACTCGCCGGATTTCTGCAAAGTGCCCGCCACTTTATCGCCAAGTGTATATATTTAGATACAATAATATATTATTTACACAGTACACACAGGATCGACCCTTTCAACTATACAATAAAGACGTTAACGCAAAGGAATGATTTAAAAAATACACTTTATACACCTAGTAGTACAACGTGTCGGCGCTTTCGTTACATTAATTTATTTTACGGCATTCGCGCGAGTGTCAATTATTCACCCCGATCGGAAAATATTTCGAAAATCATAGGACGAGATCTGGATGAAGCTTGGAATGCTGGAATTATGCGTACATATTTCAAACAACATATGTAGAAATAGAGACCTTTCATATTTCATTTATATTGATAAATATTTGCGCAATGTATATAAATGGTATGTTAGCAAAACTGTTGCGTTTTGGCGAATCACCTTGGCAGAATATTTGCACAATTAAATTGCCGTCGTGTTACGACGAGCTGCCGCTACGAGGCGTCTCATACTCGTAAGTAACACATGGTCATAAGATTTGAGAATTTTACTTACCAGAGACTCTGTAATCAGAGACTGGCCATATTTTTAAACATTTATTACACGTAATTGTGTTGCTGGGCAATTTTGCTTCCAAATGTCGAAATAATTGTGCACGATTTATCCCCTAAATTGAGATTATCAATTTTTGGGCGAATACCATTTAGAAATTTTATTCCTACAGAAATCGAATCACCTTAAAGCAATCGTGAAATTTCCCTCTTTTGGATGATGCAATTATTACACAATATTTGATGACATTTTCCTATCGGGGCAGTTACGAATAATTGACATTCGCGCGACAATAACGGCACGTTTAAGCGCAATTAAATCAATACGAGGTTCGCGACGAATCTCGCGGCGGGATATTTCCTGAACGAATAACGGGAAAGCAACGTTAAATCGCCGGCATTTTCTAGCGAGCTTTTAAGCCGAATGGAAATCCGATCTGACGAGATACCTTCGCTATACCGTATTTATTGTCGTGCCCTCCGCTCTGCGTACGGACTACAGTATACGTCGGCTCATCTAATCGTAAAAGCGCGCCGACCGAATTAAGCCGCGCCAATTTGCGATAGTCGAGCGCACATTTAGCCCGCGACCAGAGTGTCCTGGTCGCGACGGGTGCTCGTGGAAAGATAACAATGTATCGTGGAAGACGAAACGGGGCCGCAAAACGGTCGCCAGCGAAACGGGTAGGGGGTCAGGAGGAGCCTGGGCGAAAACCTCGAAGTAATCTTCATCTTGTTCGGCAAAAAGCTTTTGCATCTTATCGATCCTCTGTATTTTATATCGATACATCCGCAACGTATCGCTGTCAACAGCAACAATAACAGCAAGACAGTGATTTATTTTCGAACAACGGCGAATTCCCGGAAACGGGAAATTATGTATGCACGGAGCAACTCGACGAGAGAGGCTCCACGGGGCCCGTCAGATGGATCGATTAATCCACGTTATCGCTCGTTTCCGGACCGCTCGATTACGGAAAAGCTCACGCGAATTTTCGCTGTGTGTCTACAAATATAATCCTTCGCTACGAATGTTGATATAATGGAAAAAAACAATTTTTTTTTAACATGACAAAGTATACTTTGACACTTGCCGAAAGTATAGTTAGAGTTTTTTTCATTTTCAATTTTTATACCAATGTTTCAACCGCTATGCCTAATCTACAATGTGCTCTTTGCGTTTACACGGAATTTTCTTTTAAAATGTACCCTGAAAATCATGTAATCGTAGGACAACGTGGTATTTTGAAGAACTTTATGAGTTTTTAAAAAACTTACCTCTTACTAGAAAATGTATGGTAAAATGTCCAAAAACTCTCGTAAAATTCTTGGAAATGCCACGTTGTTCCACGATTACAAGATTTTCAGGATAAATTTTAAGAGAAAATTCTCCCCAGTGTAAAAACGTTTGGTTTCGCATAAGCGAGTCAAAACGCTTTAAAAAATTCGTCGACAACGTACGATTGTGCAACGTATAACGTACAACTTATCAACCTGCACAAATTTTTTAACGTATTTTTTTGCCTACAAAATAGAATGTTTCTAAACGCAAAGGGCACGTTGCAGATTAGGCTTTAAGGAACAACGTATATCCTGGAATACGCACTTTTCTCGTGTCATTCAACTCTAAGCGGCAAAAATGCGAGCATTCATTTGCGAGAACTTTTAACGTCGAAATTCGTGCATCGCGCGAACCTCGATGTTTCCTCCGACAAAAATGTCTCTCATAAAGCGAACTGAATGTGAAACGATTTTCCCGATAAATAGCGTTGAAAAAGCAGGATGTGTTATTCTTCGATCCGTCTATTTCGACCTACAGATTTGTTTGCCTCCTGCTTCAGCTTTTTGCGAGGTCTGTCGAACAGTTAAATTCAATAGCCGCGACGGGACTCCACAACGAACTCTGCAGCATGCAGGATGTCGGCACCGAGAACTCATCTCGCAGTTCCGGGCACATTCGCACCTCCCCCGTGTTATCTCCTTTTTCCGCGTTCGCCGTGTCGATCGGGCGATGCACGAACTTGTTTGACCTGTATTTTATCTACAGTCCGATTAATCGCCGGTTACGTCTAAACGAGAGAAAAAAAAAGAGGAGGAAGAGAGAGGTAGAGCCTCTCTAACGCACGTGTTGACATCGTGTCGCGCATATTTACAGAGACCCCAGTCGAAAGTTTCGACGCGGTCCTTTTGGTCGCGGCAGTGACTACATCCGATCGTATCTAGAAATACATCCTTGTTATATCGAATAAGGGGAAGACCTATTTCTTTTCTTCTCTTCTTCTTTCTTTTTTGCGTGGCTTCGCACCCTCCGTCACATCCTCTCGACTCCTATTTCCAACACGAGTCTCAAGTACTCAAACAGTGCTACAGAAACATTTTTAGAAAGAGATAGGACCCGCAACTGCGACAATTTATAATCGTTTCGGCTGCGATAACGGAACGGAAAGGGAAGTTCAAAACGTAGTATGAGATCATTTGACTTTATAATATTTTTATATAATTATATTTCTCTGTATTTAAAATGTGATTTTTTTTTCAGACGTCATTATTTAATCGAAGTTTCCTGAAAGATGCTAATGTACTTCAGTAGATTGTTATTTGCAAAATAGAAGCACTGTCGTGAGATCCAAACGACTCGGAAGCAGAGTCATTTTCTCTTCTGTACATATTTCGACCGAATATTTACTCCTTCATCCTCCGTTTATATTTACAATCATCGCCAGCGGGACTGACCTACCCAGATAGGATTGTCGCGTACGCACGGCGTGTCCCTTTGCGTTACTTTTGGGCGACTAATGAAGATCCACGAGCGGTCCCTGACTGACCCCTCTGCTTGCTTTCCTAAGTTCATTCATTAATCTCTATCCTGAATTTATAATAGCTTCGTACGTAAATGGTGTCCGATGATACGCGAAATGTTAATTCTCTTATGAACAAGAAATTATATGTCGTAGTGATTTAATCGAGAGCGAGATAGAGAGAGAGAGAGAGAGAGAGAGAGAGAGAGAGAGAGGGGGGGGAGGGGGGGGATAGCTTATCCTGTTTTTTTTTACGAAATATATGTTTCATATGTTTCTACGTAAATAATATCTTAGAAACGATCGCGATAGTTCGATGCGCGATTAAAGTTTTCGTAAATTGTAATTTTATAAAGATGGATTCCTAGAGTAATTGCACGAGAAATTTAATGTTTATCTTTAAAATCGTGATTAAAGAGGTAAAAGCAGCTGAGGAATTATATAGATGATAGGGGGTAATGAAGATAATGACCAGTCGATATCAGATTCCGTCGGAATCAGGCTCTTCTCTCCCTTAAAGAGATTGGTTTTCTACTCCTCAAAGATATTGGATTTCGCGATCGATACTTAGAGCGGAGCGCGTAATCCGAGAAAGCATTTTGACATCGCAAAAAACGTAAAGTACATCAAATAATGATTAAAGCAGAAAGAGTCTGTAATATCCAGAGATTTCTTTATAACGATTACTCTCTTTAAATATATTCCGACAAGCTTCGAGAGAAAACTTTTGCCATTATTAACAGCAGAGATAATCGTTTCCTACAAGGCAGTTGTGTAACGTTGAATATATTTCACGATTAATTTTATTCTAGGGGAAAAGTTACGGTCAAATTGATACAAAATATAAGAAAACATAAAAATTTTTCAACGTTTACGTACATTACTTAAATGTTTAGTAAAATAAAAACTAAATATATACTCGATAAAGTCTTGACCGTTTGATAAAAGGATAGAGAAGCGCTTTTAAAAATTCATAATAATCTCAAGCACGTATTAATCTCGAAAGATCTCAGAAAGTTCCTTCAGTCGGGCACGTTAAAGTTTTAAATCAATGTTAATTCATCAAATGTTAATTCGTCTACCTGAGTCGCGCGGAATCGAGATCCTCTAAATCTATTCTTCAGTCCGGCTCGTGGATCTTCATAATCGCCGTTTCTCTCGTCGTTCATATCTGAAACTCTTCGCCGTCGTCTTACAGGGTGGTCGGCAGAAGAAGCAAGAGCAAGATCGCGGAGACCGAGGGATGCCTGAGGTTCGCGGCATTCACGACGATCCAAGGCGGCGGTATGGAAGGCACGACGGGCCTGTCCGTTCTCTGGCCCTCCTGAGTGCTGCCGGTCATAATTTGCGTGGTACCGAAATCGTCATCGCCACTGACGGAATCGCCCTCCTCGAAACCGCCTGCGTATCCTCGCCTACCGTTGCTGCTGTTGCTCTTCTTCTTGCCCTTCGATATCGGCTTCTTGCGCTGTCTGATATCCGTGTTCTTCGTGAGCGTCGTCGGTGTCGTCTTCGCGGAGAGATGCAGCTCTAAACAAAAAAAATGACGCGGCATTAGCGAAATAAATCGTGGTGCACGCACGCGCCATGTGGAAACAGCGTTGACAGAATTACTTGAAATAACATTAACCCTTTGAAGCATGGTGGTAATTATATATTATTTTTTAATATTGTCAAACGTAGGGCGCATCACTCAATTTAAGTTGCGAACAAACCGCTAGAGAGAGAAAGATGGGAGCCGGTAAAATAGGATTTTGGATAATATCGGGAAATTCTCTTTACCTTGCAATCGCACCACACCGTCGTACTTGCCGAGCGCGTTGACGGACGAGCACATGTAGCCGCCGAAGTCCCGTTTTTCCAGGGAATGGACAGTGAGATTCATTTGCCAGGAGTACTCATTCAGCGGGTGCTCCGTCATTACGTATTTGTCACTGGGCAGCAGTTTCTCGCCTAAATAGAAAGCGAATGGAAATATTGCGCTATTTTTAATTGCGCGGCTCTTTCGTGTGCAGGCAGGATGTCGCGTTCGCCGCGCAATTCAATTTCTGCCCCACAAAAGCGATCAAAAGCACAATCTTGCAATATAGGCCGATACGAGCCGGTAAAATACTGCTCGTTTAAAACGCGTCTAATAATAGACACTTATGTAACTTTGGAACTTAACTCCAACGATTTTCTATGTGACAGTGCACACGGCCAGTTTGTTAAACGTTAAAATTACGTTCTCAAGCTTTAATATGTTTGAAAATAAAATGTTTACTTTAACGTCAAAGGCAGCTAATGCACGGCAAAGTAAGTTCTTAGTGCTAATACACTGGGTAGCGATAAATATTTCCGCGAGAAAAATAAAGGATCAAATAAACAAGATGAAAAACATATTCGCGTCCACACTCGAGTCAATAACCGCGATAGAAATGCAGCTTACAAACAACGCTTTTATGGGTTTCCAATCAGAGCGATACAAATGACTCAATTTTTGCTACAACTGTATCAATTATTCGCGTATGTATTTTTCAATATTTGCGTATATCGTTTATTGCGCGGCATAAAGTAACGCTTTGAAATCATCATCCGCGAGAAACTGTCGTCGTTAATCAGAAATTTTCAAACGCATTGATTTTCACTGGAGATTTTTACAGGGCCTTTTTTTCGGAGCGACAGCGCGTTTACGAGCAATTCACGAATTTACATATTTGATTAACGCAGGGCGTCTGGCGCAAAAAATCTTCTCACAACGCGATAAAAGTATAATACAATCCCGTGAAAGCGTATGTGTGTATGTATAAGCGCGGCTGCGTGAGCGCGGAGATTTTCAATCTAACGCAATTCTGACTTGCAATCAATATTATTATGGTACATTGGAGTTTACGCTTTAGAAACTGATTGCAGCGATTCTATGGTTAATCAAGGGTGCAAATCTGTTGGTGTAACGTGACATAATACAAATTACGGGGTGTCTGATTATCAAATTCAAATTTCAGCAAATTCTTGGACGGACTTTATGTGATTCGCGAGAAAGTTTCTTTTTCAGCGACGTACAAATCCTAAAGATAATTGTATCACGAGGTTTCCGAAAACAGATGTCACGCCAGAGGAAGACTGTTTCTAAAATTGTATACATAACACGTTAAAACAATTACGTCTTTTCAAGAATGAAAATAATCGCTTGCCGTAATTTTTGGATGTCGAATACGATCCCAGATGTCAAATTATCCGTTGCATTACAATTTTTAGACATTTGTAGTTAAAGTTACTAAATATTTTGCCATATCGTACGTCACATAATTGCCATGTGACGTGTTGCGTGCAGAAGATAACATGTCAAAATACACTAACATAGAGTCCTTTTTGTAACTTTAACTCCAAGTTTCTCAAAATAATATCGTGATGGAGCAATTTAATAAAAAGGATCGCATTCTGTATTAAAAAAAATAGGAGGTGCGATTATTCTCGTTGCTGAGCATTTTTTTGTCGAACAGTGGAATTTGCGGGGCAAAATATCGCGTGAAAAGTCGTAGGCCATACTAAACACTGTATCATTTCTCACCTGCGTCTCTGTACCAAGTGTTCATAGCATGCGGCGATGCTTCGACGTAACATTGCAGCATGACGTCGCTATTAATCGGCGCAACCACTAATTGATTTGTCACCTTAATAAGAGGTGAGACTGAAACAACCGAGCATTCAATTATCGCAATTAAAGAATAACAATATAGCAACGTAGCATCTGGTACCGAGAACAGCACATTGCCCCGTCGTCCTTTTTTACTCCTCGAACTATTATAGCGCTGGACAAATGCAGTATGCATTGTTAATATTGTAGACGAAATAAAAATAATGAAGAGCACGTGTCGCGTTTATTCTCAATACTCATCATATAAATCCTACTTTTGAACAGAGAGATTAATTCTTGTCCTGATAAGTTTGCGAGAATCGTCTCAAAAGAATTACCTGGTTAATTACAAAAACCGGTTATGTAGTAGCGAAAAAATTTTAGTGCGTTATTTAGAGACAAGCGAAATAAGGTCAGACAGAAAACAGAATAGATAGAATAAGGAATGGGGTGAAAAATGCATTTGGAATCCCAGGGGGAGACCGCGTGCTGCTCATTCAAGAATTAACTGGTTGCACCGCACTTTGTGCACGGGCGCCACCGCCGGTGGGTTAATATTACATTTCGTAAGCAGCGAATTAATGCGAAACCCTTTGCGCTCAAATATTTACACGACCCGCGACGACGTGGATAAATCGTCAAGCCCGCCCGGTTAATTTTGCAGTAGCGCGCGGCCGGAAGTTTCGCGCGCGAGAAAAACGCCCTCGCGAGCGAGCGGACTTCGGGGGTTGATAAAGTTTTCATTTGCGAATGCCGTTAACCAAATTGCATGGTGATTTTTTAGCCTCCCGATACGCGCGGCGTATAACGCTGCGAACAATGCGCGCACATTCCCGGTAATTCTATTGTTTCTCCCAGAAGAGTGTTATTGGCATACTTTTCGCAACAATGTTGTCTTCCGGTGATGAAACTTTGGATTGCCCAGCAGATCATATTATCTTTGCGTTATTATGCGATATTTGAAAAGGGTATAGAACTTGAATGTACCGAAATAAATACAGGGTGAGTTTTTTAACTTGAGACTGCAAAATATCTGGAAAAATAAGCATTGTGCGAAAAAATGTTCGAAATAAACCCTCAATATTTTCGAGGGGGCAATTCCGTCCCGCAAAAGCCGCCTGCCGTTCCCCCTGGAAGTGGGGCGGGGGGTAACTTTGAAATCTTAAATGGGAACCCCAATTGTTTATAATATTATTTTATTCTATTAATTAATATGAACAACTTTTGTCTGGAACATTTTTTATTTGCCTAATACTTTTTGAGATGTTCAAGAGAAAATTCATAACATTTTCAATATTTAGCTTATGATATCTCGATAACTGTTTGTCGGAGGGAAAAGTAGTACAGGACTTTTTTTATGTGATTTGGTCTCAGGAATATACTGTTGCAATAGTGCTTCAATTATTGGAAATTTTTGTGTATTGTAAAATACATAAAATTTACATACACAAAAATTTTCTATGTCACGTAAAAAAGTCCTCTACTACTTTTTCCTCCGACAAACAGTTATCGAGGTATCATGAGTTAAATATTGAAAAAGTTATCAATTTTCTCTTGAATATATCAAAAAATATTAGGCAAATAAAAAAATGTTTCAGACAAAAGTTGTTCATATTAATTAGTATTATAAAATAGTATAATAAACAATAGGGCTTTCCATTTAAGATTTCAAAGTTACCTCTTGCCCAACCTCCAGGGGGAGGGGGCGATAGGCGGCTAACTTTTGCGGGATGAAATTGCCCCCTCAAAAATATCGAGGGTTTATTTGGACCATTTTTTGTACAATGCTTATTTTTTCAGATATTTTGCAATCTAGAGTTAAAAAAATTACCCTGTTTACAGAAATAAATGTAAAAGTTGATCGAATTATAGTTAAATTTATCGAAATAACGAAAAACTGTTCGTGATGATATATTAATAATTGAATCTTTTTTTCGTGTCGTTCGATGCTACTCATGTTGCGTACGATGGTTTTAAAGGGAAACTTTTTGAATGGAAATTAGGTAACGTAGATATATCGAAAAATGTTTTGTAGTTTGACTCAACCTCATTTCTCATTTAAAATCTCTATCGATGTATTCCTAGCCACAGCACCCTATAAAAGCAGGGTGATAGTTTTACCGCCGATATTGAAGAAGTATTAATAATCGACACGGTTCTCATCCTAATAATTAAACTACATTATATAAAGTACATTTACAAGAGAGCTCGATATAGCCGAAGTAGGAAAATCACATTCCCTTTAACATTCATGATTATCCAGGTGAAAAACTTTTTCATAAGATCTCATAATATTTTTAAGAAGTTTTTTATATTTTAAATTTATGAAGATTTACAAAAAAATACCTTCAACTTTTTCAGATTTTATAACTTTTCGTCGGAAAGTGTAGAGTGAGAAATTATTAAATATTTCAGAATACATGGATATAAAAAATTCTAAAGAAACATAAGCTGTCACAGTATTTCTGAACAGTGTTCTAATTCGTATAAAATATCTGAGAAATTGTTTTACAAAATTACGTGAAGAATTCTGAGTAAGTTTTTCACCAGGGTGTACTAATTGTTTACTCAATAAAATCAAATTATAAGTGAAAGAAGGTCGAATTCCGGGATTATGCGAATTTAAAAAATTAAAAAGTTTCACATTAATAAGCAATTGTAAAAAAATCTTACTTTGTAATTGATTCCTTTTTGTGCAAATTTGGGAGATATATTAGAGTTTTTCGATATAAAAAGTTGCTTCAAGCGCACACTGTCTCGCCGGCATTATAATCATTATATACCGCGTTTAATTAAATAATTAATTAACGCTCTCATCTTTATCCGTCCGTCTTGTCACACGTGAACTTGCGAAGGATAGTTACAGGCGGGTAATTATGCAGTATAACGCACAGGGACGGATCCACGAAATCCTTCAACGATAGCAGCTTTTAGACTCAAAGTCTAGATTTTCAGACAATCGCATCTCGCCGTAATTATCATTCGCAATTGTGAATCCCGTGTCTTTTACGAGTAACATTTATATTTTTCTCTCGAGAAGTTAAAAAGCCTTCGCGATTCGTCTCGTCAAAGTGCGCGATTGATGGCACTTGTAGCCGTTGCTTGACAATTGTGAGAGCCGGAATGATGTTCGGGGCGTTCTACCCTGCTGTATTCAATACGACGACGACGGGGCGACGGCTAATTAACGTCCGCATCTGCGGCGCGATACCTACAGTGAACATCGACGGAGTAACGCTTGCTGACCGTCGGCGGCACATTGTTGCTGGCTATGCAGAGATACGTGCCCATCTCTTGCCGCAGCACCCCCGTCAGTTCCAGTGTCTCGCCGACGAGTGTTTTCAGAGCTGCAAAATCGGGAAGATCAATATTTAGGCATTTTTACCATCGCGCGCATATCTTCGCGCAAAATTCTGCCCCGGGAGACAAGCTGGGCCCGTCCAATATTTTCTCATTATTCTTTCTTTCAATCGCAAAAAAAAATAATATATACCCCCTCATTGTATTTTCAATGACATTAATAATAATTTTGCGCGTGGTCGCAATTTATGCAGATGCTATTCCAATAACTCAGTATGATAAATGCGCTCCGATAGAGTTTACTGAGATTTGCGTTAAATGTGTATTTGATGCGCGTCTACATAAAATCGCAGGCGCGATTTTCATATGAAAATATATTTTCAACATAATAGCTTCGGCGGGACGCGCGCGAGAGAATTGTTTGAGATATTATGTTGAAATGGTATGTTACTGACGTCATCGGTCCCAGAAAAAGTATAAGAATTAATTTTGTGTCGTAGAAGAAATTCAGCTGATTTGCAAATCCAGCTGATTGTGAGTAATAAACATAATGAGAAAAACAAAGGGATTCCAATTATTAAGCATATTATTATATATTCGAAAATAATATATTCTAATTTATAAATAATACGATATGTGTACTTTGCTGTCGTAATATATTTGCATTTATTTGCATTGATTTCAAGCAGCAACCTTTAATAGCTAAGAAATTCAGCTGATTTGCAAAACCAGCTGATTGTGAGTAATAAAAATGATAAGAAGAACTAAAGGAATTTTAATTATTAAGTATATTATATTTGAAAATAGTATTTTCTAATTTATAAATAATACGATACGTGTACTTTGCTGTCGTAATATATTTGCATTTATTTGC